GATAAAAATGAAAGAAAGATACTTGCACTGATTTTTTGCTACAATATCTATTTCACATATTAGTGTTTCTGTCCTAGTATACTTTTACAAATATTATCTCAATGATAGAGATGATTATAATTGACATGAAATATTTATTCATCATTCTCCTCAACTTCGAATCCAATGTATTCATTGTCATTAAATTTTTCTCTAATTTTGTTATATGCACAAGCTGGCAAAGGTATTCTTCTTCCACCCAAGTAACCATGGACAAGGCGTGTGAATTCTCTATATGCAATAGTACGCAGGAACCTGATGAAAAAAAAAAATTCAAAACTATAACTTGGGGAAACTTAAAAATCCCAGCTAATAAGCCCTCATTCGTAAGTGTTTTTTCCTTCCAAATATCGGCTTATAACTGATAGGGCTTACAACCAAGTAGGAAGAAAAAATAATGGTATATTTTAACTTTTGCTTCGTGTTCCCAGTCAAAAACTTATAAACGTATTCATCCTTAGATTTCTTTAAATACTCATTACTAATATCAATCTGCAATAACGTTTGTTTCCTTTGGATGGTTACTAAAGCCAAAAGAGTTGCTAACTTATATGAAAGCTCTTTAAGTGACAAACCCTTATTAGGTGAGAAAGCCTTCAAATAGAGCAAGACTTAGTTGACATCCCAAATGCCATAATATTTAGTAGAAGGCCCCTTTAAGAAAACGGCAAACCACCGGGTGCTGTCCTACGTGTGTTTTGTCAATCATCACAATACAAGACAAAGCTGACCTAGCAGTATTTAAGGCAGAGTAGGATAAACTAAGTAATGTATGCAAGAACTCCAACACCTCATTTAAATTGGGTGAAAATGGATCAACTTTCCTTGCACTACAGAATAGAGTCCATTTTTTAATATAGACTGTGTACTGCTTCAGAGTGGCAGGTCTCCATGAGTTGACGACTACATCGGTAACGTGTCCAGAAAAGCCCTGCTTTTGGTAGTATTCCCTGATACTGGGCACACCATCAGCGTCAAGCAACCTTGCATGCTGTGCGTCTTTGGGACTGATGGGTGAACTAACAGATGGGACCCTTTCTTCCTCACCATCACTACCGGTTGGCTGGTTAGCATCTGTAAGATTTGGGTGAACCACGTCTGAGTGGGCCAAGCTGGCACCACTAGCAATCCTTCCGCTTGCTCGCTCATCACCTTGTTTAAGCAGCGAGGAATCAAGCTAAAGGGCGGTAAAGCATAAAACCTTTCACCTTTCCATGATCTACTAAAGGCATCAACTGAAACTGCTTGAGGATCAGGTCTCCATGAAACATAACGTGATAAACGGTGGTTCAGTACTGATGCAAAAAGGTCAATAGTAAGGCCTGGGAAAATCTCACAGAGTTTTACAAACATGTCATTATCTAGCATCCATTCATGATCAGAATAGCGTTTTCTAGATAATGAATCAGCCTTAACATTAGTAGCACCTGGTATAGGGACAGCTGTTAACCATAATTCTTTGTCAATGCACCAGTTCCATATTTTCCTTGCCACTATATCGCAAGCATCAGACCTACAACCCCCCATATTATTAACATAGGACACTGCTGTGGTATTGTCAATCTCAAATCTGACATGGCCATCACACATATCTTTACCAAAGATAGTCAAACAAATAAACACAACATATAATTCTCTTACATTGATGTGAAGAGATCTTTGTCCCAGTGTCCAGAGTCCATGGGACTGGAGAGATTCATCAGTACTACAAGAGATACCCCATCCACTATCACTGGCATCAATCTCAAAACTATGTGAAGGCGTAGGGTGTTGAATTCTACGATACACATGCATGACATTAGTATGCCACCATGTTAGTTCTTGTTTTGCAGCACAAGACAGTTGCATTATTGCATCTTAATCACCTCTGCTAGCTAATAAAGCATGTATTTTATCTCTTTCTAGATGGCGATAATGCAACCTTCCAAAGTCAACCCCTGGTAAAGCAGATACAACTTTGCCAATGACCTTAGCCACAAAGCGAATTGGAAAGAAAACTCCCTCCACTGTACATAGGGATTTTATTTCCTCTTTCTTTTCCGAAGTTAAAGAAACAGTCATTGACACTGAATTCAAAATAAAACCTAAGAATGTCAATGACTGCGAAGGAATAAGGACAGACGTCTCAGGATGGACATAAAAACCCAGTCGGAGAAAAAGGCACACTGCTTCTCCTAGGTTTGAACAACAATCCTGGGCATCATTCCCTTGGATGAAGAAATCATCGATATATCCTGCAATAGTACATCCTTTCTGTCTTAAACAGGCTAGTTGGGGTTTCATTACCTTGGTGAAAATTCTAGCAGAGCTGGACAACCCCATTGGCAAAGCATTGAATTCATATAATTTACCAAGCCAAAGAAACTTCAAGACTTTTCTTTGTTCCACAGCAATAGGAATTGTATAATAAGCATGTTTCAAATCCAAAGAAGCAAAGTAGGCCCCTCGGGAAATCATACTAATTATTGAAGCAGAACTGTAAAGAACATTAATTATACACGAACAATGTTTATACAAACTTGAGCTCACTAAGTAACGTTATTATTTTCTCCCTTGAGTATTTTTTCTTTTCACTTTAATCCTTCTTTTGTTTAGTTTTACTAGTTAAGTTCGGTTTTTATAATATTTTATTAGTCGTCGAGTATACCGTAGGAAACAGATGTAAGTAACCCTTTTTTCTTCTTTCTTAGCTTTTCCATTTTTTGTTTCTAGTACTGACACTTTATTTTTGTAATTTTCTAGTTTTTCTACCGCTATAATCGGTTTGAATCGAAACGAATAAATGTAACGTCAAAAACGAAAGCGCGTCAACATTGTAGAAAAAATCTACTCCAACACCGAACACCGAGACTCAACCGTCATGACCGAAGAAACTGATGAAATCAGAGAAGATATTGCTACTCGAGCCGCTCGTCTTAAACAGGAGCAAACTACAGCCTCAAACTGCAGTATCGAAACAACGTACAAAGTTAACGAAGTTAATGACTAACAAAGAAAATTTACAGGAAGTTAAGACCGAATTAGATGTACTCAACGATAAATTCGAAAGATACATTCACGCCCACTGTCAATACATCGAGCAGATATTATCAGAAGAAGTTCAAGAGAAAGAGGAAAAACGTTACGAGGATAAAGAGAAGTCAGTGTTAGAGTTCAGGAATCAAGTTTTGAATTGGATTTCATTGGCCGAAGAAAACTTATTGTCTCACGATGATAGTTACTCCAAAGCACCCTCCAAACTCTGCAAGACGTCAGATCTGTCCAAGGCGTCGTGGAAATCTTCAAAAACAAGTATAACTAGGATAAGAGCCCAGGTAGCCGAGTTGTTGGTTGAAAGGGAAATGTTAAGCCAAAGACAGCGATTGAAAGCAGCCGAAGAGGAGTTAGCACTACGAATGGAAATTGAAAAAGCAAAAGCGAGAGAAAGAACTTTTACCGAAGCAGACCAAACGTCTATTACAGAAAAGAGGAACCCTTTCTCTGCGGTCTTAGTCACTCCAGCCTCCTTTGAACGCAAGTCAACTGATATTAGAGGATTGAACCCGATGGCGAAAGAATTCCAACCTCCAACTTTCACCTTCAATCAGCCACTACTACTAAGAGAGGAAACCAAGGAAACCGCGAGAGATTTTCAGCCGCCTACGTTCATTAATCAGATCCCACTTCTAAGAGAAGATACCGTTAAAGAATTCAAACCCGACTTCATAGATCAGAAGCCTTTACGGAGAGACGAGAACACAACGCCTTTCCAGCAGGTGGACCAAGGTCAGAGCATGCTAGCATTCCACGCTTTGCAGAAACAACAGCATGAAGAAATGATGAATTCCTACCAACAGTTTACAGCAGCAGTATCTTTACCACAGCCCAAGGTACCAGTGTTTAAAGGAGACCCCATGGAGTATACATCGTTTATTATGGCCTTCACCACCCGCATAGAATCAAGAACTGTTAATGATGCAGATCGATTGTATTACCTTGATCAACAACTCAAAGGTGAACCTAAAGACTTAATCGGAGGATGTTTGTACCTGGAACCAACGCAAGGTTATGCAGAAGCAAGAAGATTGCTCCAAGAGGAATACGGTGACCCCTACAAAATTGCCATTGCGTACCTCAATCAAGCTCTAGTCTGGCCTTCGATCAAACAAGATGACAGCGTTGGTCTGAGAAAATTGTCCCTGTTCTTGGTAAAGTGTAAGAATGCCATGAACAATATCCGACATCTTGCAGTTCTTAACCATTCACCGAATATGCAGACTATTGTTAGCAACCTCCCGTACTCCCTGCAGAACAAATGGCGTGATCAAGTTATTGCTCTAAGTAAACGCTATCAAAGAATCTCAGCTTTCAATGATCTTGTGGAGTTCGTTGTGTCTGCCGCCGAATCCGCCAATCATCCTGTCTATGAAAGGCAAGCTATGAAAATAGAAACGAAACAACCACTTTCCAGAAGCAAAGACAACGAACGATGGCAGAAACAAAACACACCTAAACAGAAGAGCTCTAACTTCGCAACCGAGATACAACATCGCAAGCAGGAAGTAAATGTTAAACCCCAACACAAGATATGGCCAAACGAAGCAGCAGTCTGTGCTTATTGCAAGGAATCGCATGACATAGATGATTGTAAAGGATTTGTAAAGTTGTCAGATCCAGAGAAAAAGAAGTACTTGAAAGAAAACGGGATGTGTTTCTCCTGCTATGGAACCAATCACGTGACTAAAGGATGTACCAAGAAAAGAACATGCAAGATATGTAACAAGTATGGACATCCAACTGCCTTACACATCGAAGGATTTACCTTAAACAAAAAGACCAAAGATAACGACACAGTAAAGGAGTCTTCAGGCGTTAACAACGGAAGTGTAGATGTAGTTAACGAATCTATTGTTTTGCATACGATCCTTCCAGTTAAAGTAAAGAAGAAAGGTTGCAGCGAGGCAATAATGACTTACGCTTTCTACGATGGGGGAAGCGGAGGTTGTTTTGCAACAGAAGATCTAAAGCAACAGCTAGAAGCAACAGGATTTGAAACAACTCTTCAGTTAGGAACTATGCATGGTACAAGCACTATAAAGACTACAGCATTGAAAGATCTCATCGTGACAGATTTGAATGACGAGAATGCAATGGAACTTCCGAGAACATTTACGAGAGACTTTATTCCAGTAAGTCATCAACAAATACCGAAACCAGAAGTTGTTCGTCGCTGGAACCATTTACGAGAGATTTCAAGTCAAGTACCTGAATACAGACCCAACTTAAAGATCGGATTGCTGATTGGTAGCAACTGCCCAGCCGCGTTTGAGCCCCTGGAAGTACTCCCAAGTCAACAAGAAGGACCGTTTGCTGTTCGTCTTCGTCATGGTTGGACCATAAGTACCCCTTTGCGGATGACTACCGGATGACAAACACAGAGCATAACCAGTAACCGCATAGCTGTACAAGAAACTGAAGATATGAAGGAAATCATCGCTCCAGAGACAGTAAGAATGTTTGAACTTGATTTTAATGATCATCCAAGTCAAGATCACAGTGTTCAAGGTTATTCACAAGAAGACATGCAGTTCCTGAAGATAAGTAGAAGAAGGTACTATACGCGTTGATGGTCATTACCAAGTCCCACTTCCATTTCGTCAATCTGCAGTCAGAATGCCAAACAACAAGGAACAAGCCTTGAAGAAAGCAATATGGCTGAAAGGAAAGTTCGCAAGTAACGACCGATACTTTGCCGAGGAAAACCTCGTAACTGAGCCTGGAAAAGTGTGGTATCTTCCACATCACGGAGTCTATCACCCGCACAAGCCCAACAAGATAAGAGTCGTATTCAACTGTAGTGCAAAGTACAACGGCACATCGTTAAACAGCCAGCTTTTACAAGGTCCAGATCTTACAAACTCGCTAATTGGAGTTCTTCAACGATTCAGAAGAGAACCCATAGCTATAATGGGAGATATAGAAGCTATGTTCCACCAGGTTCGTGTTCCACCCCAGCAGTGCGATTTTCTTAGGTTCCTTTGGTGGCCAGATGGCAATCTTGAAGCAGAAATACAAGAGTACCAGATGCTTGTTCATTTATTTGGCGCCACATCATCGCCTAGCTGCTCGAACTATGCTCTAAAGAAAAGCGCAAATGATGCAGAACCATTGTACGGTAATCTTGCCGCAGAAACAGTGAGAAGAAACGTCTACGTGGATGACTGTTTAACATCTGTAAAAGAAGAAGAGACTGCTGTCAAGCTTATTGATGATCTTCCCAAGACCTGTGCTTATGGTGGATTTCGCCTGACCAAGTTCGTGTGTAATCATCGAAACGTTTTGCAGTCCATCCCTATTCAAGAATGTGCAAGCAAGTTTGTATCATTAGACTTGGGTCAAGATAGTCTACCAATCGAACGAGCCCTTGGTGTACAATGGTGTGTTGAATCTGACACATTTGGATTTAAGATCATGTTGAGCGATAAACCTACAACGAGAAGAGGCATATTGTCAACTGTTTCATCCGTTTACGATCCGCTTGGTTTTGTGGCACCTATCATCTTGCCAGCTAAGAAAGTCCTCCAAGATCTGTGCAAAGAAGCTGACTTAGGATGGGACGACGAAATACCTAGTGAACATCAAGTACAATGGACAAAATGGCGCAAGCAACTACCGTTGCTGGATCAAGTGACAGTCAATCGTTGTTACAAACCACCCGGTTTTGGAGTCATCGTGTCCAAGCAAATCCACACATTTTCAGACGCCAGCACAATGGGCTATGGATCAGTTGCATATCTACGCTTGAAAGATAACAAGAACCAAATTCATTGCACCTTTCTGTTTGGGAAAGCACACCTTGCGCCCATCAAAGTTACAACGGTACCAAGACTATAACTTACCGCAGCGACTATTTCCGTTCGTATTGGACAACTGTTGATGAGAGAGCTTGATGTGGAAAAAACTCTCATGACTTACCATACTGATTCCACTACAGTCCTTCGTTACATCATCAACGAACAAAAGAGGTTCAAGGTCTTTGTTGCTAACCGAATTCAAGAAATCAGAACTCATGCCGATTCAAGACAATGGAAATACGTTCCTTCATCTGAGAATCCAGCCGACGATGCCTCGAGAGGACTCGACACCTCAACCCTAATCAACGGACAACGTTGTTTAAATGGTCCAGACTTTTTATGGAAAGATGAAAAGGAATGGCCAAGCCAGCCAGCCATCGCTTGTGAAACCATACCCGAAGATGATATTGAGGTAAAGCACACTACCGTCAGTCACGCAACAAGGATAGATGATTCAGTCAACAGCATATGCAAGTTGTTCTCATACTTCTCAAGCTGGTACAAGTTAAAAAGGGTAGTGTTCGTGTTTCTGCGATTGAAGACCCTGCTAAGGAGGAGATGTGCGAAGAATACGGAGTGTAACAAGGAAGAAGAGATCAAGCAGGTCCCGAAAGCAGCAGTTAGGCGGAGTCGCGGAGCGCCGACAAAGCCAAAAATCGAAAGTCGAAAAACACCAGGGGGGGGTGGGTTTTTAGAGGTCGGTAACCCGCCCTACAGGGGGTCTTGCGCGATCGGCCGACACGCGAAATGTGCCTAACTGCTGGGGTCGCCAACGGAGGTTAAAATATTTGTCGGATATACGATGCATGAATGTAAAAAGTTTGTTAACGACTTTTGCATAATTTGTCTAAGACCTAAAGTTCTCGTACCTAAGCCAGAACCCTTTTGGTGTTGTGGTAAAAAAATGCAGATAGAAGATGACACGTCAGCGCAGTGTTACGAGTGTGGTAAAAATATTCGTAATGCCGTGCCAAATGTTACCAAAGAACAGTATTACGCCAATGGAGGTCGCACGAAAACGCCATATAAGAGGTTGAAATACTTCAGGGACTGGATGA